ATAATGCAACCAATTATTTTCAGGTGTTTTATTATTGTATTAATGCAGTCAAAAATGTATTTTAATTTTGTATGACGGGGAATCTATACTGTAATGTTTGAGTTAAAATAATAGAACAAAAAATAGATTTATATACACTGCTGGCCACCATAAATGCAACACCCTGAAGGGAGCACGCAAATAACATGAAATTTACAATATGCATTAGCGGAGGTGAGATATGCAAATGAATAGAATTTCAGCGCAGACACACATCACGCACGCCTGTGGCGCCACCTCAAAGCGCTATTTAAGGCTTGGAGATTTCGACGATTTCAAGCTCGGCAATTGTGTTTTTCTTGTGGTTTTTTCAAAAACGATCAGTTATGTCTCGTAGAAAACAGCGATCAGCTTTTGATCAAGTATACGAGTTCGACAGGGAAAGGATAGTGGCCTACCGAGATTGTGGATTATCCTTCAGGGAAATCGGTAGTCGTGTTGGACGAAACCAAACAACTGTAATGCGGATATGTGCCCGTTGGATGCAGGAGGGTACAATGGACCGACGTGGTCGATCGCATCCACCTCAGTGCACCACTTCACGTGAGGACAGGCAAATTGTGCGCATGGCAGTGACGGATCGCCCAGTCACATTACGAACCATAGCACAGCACATTGAGTCTGTAAAGCATCATTCAGTGTCTGCGCGTACCATTCGACGCCGTTTACAGCAGAGTGGTTTGTCCGCAAGACGTCCATTGCTTGGTCTACCCTTGACGCAGAACCACAGACGTCTCCGCCGCCAATGGTGCGATGAAAGAAGGATGTGGACGGCAGAATGGAATGAAGTTTTCTTTACTGATGAGTCACGCATCTGTCTGCAACACCACGATTATCGGATTCGAGTTTGGAGACATAGTGGAGAGAGGATGCTGAACAGCTGCGTTATGCACCGCCACACTGTTCCTGCACCGGATATTATGGTATAGGGCGGTATTGGATATCACTCTCGCACTCTTCTAGCACGCATTGCCAGTACTTTAAACAGCCAGCGCTACATCTCCGAGGTATATGAGCCAGTTGTCCTTACTTACATTCAGGGCTTGGCCACAGCCATATTTCAACAGGATAATGCGCGACCACACGTGGCACGCATTGTCCAAAGGTTCTTCGTCAATCACCAGATTGAATTGCTTCCCTGGCCGGCTCGCTCTCCGGATCTTTCGTCGATAGAAAACATGTGGTCCATGGTTGCTCAACGATTGACCCAGATTACACCCCCAGCTGCCGCACCAGATCAACTTTGGTAACGTGTGGAAGCTGCTTGGTCTGCTGTACCCCAAGAACACATCCAAAGTCTCTTTGAATCAATACCGAGGCGTGTGGCAGTGGTGATCTCCAACAATGGTGGCTAATCTGGATACTGATTCTGGCAGGAACCACACTTCACAGAAGTCTATAAATTTAATCATTTGATACTTGGTCAACATGTTATCTAGAAAATAAATTTTGTTGTGCTATCTCTTGTCTTTCTTGATGTTGCATTTACGGTGGCCAGCAGTGTAATTATATTGTATAAATCTGTTCCTTAGAAAAAGCTTAAGACATCTAGTACATAAATAAAGAAGAAAATAGACTCACACTCATTCAATCATTCACTCACCCATCATGAGATATCTGGAACTACAAGAGCAGCAGCCTTGAAACTTGGCAGGCACATTTCTTTTATTGAAGAGAGATCCGCTGAGACGGGTTTTATGGAAATCGATCCCAAGGCGAGGATTATAAATAAAAATTTATGTTTTTGAACTATTAAATCTAGACCTGAAATTCGGCAAACATGTTACTTTTGTTGAATAAAGATCCGGTAAATACGGTTTTTCAAACATCAACCCCAATAGGGCTACAGGAGCTAAATAAATAAAAAAAGATACCATTTTTGAACAAAAAGACAAACAAACTTGAAATATGGCAAACATATTTCTTTTCTTGATTAGAGATCCACTAAGAGTAGGTTTGGAGGAAATAGACTCCAAAGAGAGGGGTGCAAGAACGTGTTGTTGACAAAAACTTCCATTTTTTTATCAATTAATCCAGGATTTAAAAGTTTTGGAACACAACAGAAAAAAATTTTGGGTATTAAGTGCAATGAATATTAATCAATTTGAAGAGCCCCACGATTATGCTTGATAAATATCGCAACAGACTCAGAAGAAATCATTGTAGGAAGTAGTCAATCGCTCTTTCATTTCATCAGAAGATAATTACAAATTTCAGAATGAAAAGGAGAAAGAGAAAGAGAGAGAGAGAGACACACACACACAGAGGGAAAGAAAGGAATAATATATTGAAGTATTAGACCACTCTATTTAAAAAAAAAAACAGCGTATAACTAAGTGTAACAATAAGATGCAAGTTGCAATGAACACTAACAAGGGGAGGGCACGACTAAGAAAATTCATTTGGGGACGAGACTTTGTGCACGAATAGTACTCCCTAAGGGTGTTCAACCCTCAATGTAATTCCGCCGAATGGCCAGTCAATTTGGAGAAAAGAGCCTTCGAAATTCATGATTAGCTTTTAAACAATTAAGTTTTGATATCTACCAACGACGCAACAGCATGCTCGGTTAAGTAACCGTTTGACACGCAATCGACTTCAGTTCGAATCGAAGCGATCGGATTCTTCTGTTTAATTTTTAAATTCATTTAATTTTTTTTACAAAATTCATTTATTTGTAACACACACACATATATATATATATATATATATATATATTATATCTAAAATTAAAAATATATAATATAAAATATATTAATATATATATTATATTAAATATTATTAATTTAATTATTTCATAATTTATATAATTGTAAAATAATTAAATTAGTAATATATAATATACGTATTGTTTTATTATATTAATTATAAATAATTTTTATAAATAATAATTATAATATATTTTATGTAATATTATAATATTTTATATAATATTTTATTTATAATATATTGTATTTGATATTATAAAACTATTTGTAACTAATTTTTATGTAACATATAATTTAATATTTATTATAATATATTTTTATAATAAATATTATTTATTTATAATTATATTCATAAAATATAAATAATTTTATAATTACAGCAGTTATTTTACTTTTTAAAATATAAAATAATTATCTAAAATATCATTTAATATTTAATAAACGTTTATTGAAATAAATTTATTTACCTAAATTTATTTTTTAAATACCTACGTAAAGTATAAATGATAAAGCTCACACCCACATACAAAATTTGTGGGGAAAAAGGCGTTTTCAGCAATTTGTACTGAAAAAAAAAATAAATGGAAAAAAAATATACGAAATAATTCAAATTATCATTTTTAATTACAAAGTACAAAGAAAAGAAGATAAAAAAAATAAAAAGTTTTATTAAGTAGCAACTTAACAGTACGGCCAAACGTTAAAAATGTGAGACAAAATATATGGAGCTAGTTTTTGTATATATACGAGCAATCCTATCAAGTGTGCTCTACTGGATCAATGTTAATTTATGTATCATTCTAAAGCTAGACTTTTTGTATCCTTACCAGCGCATGCCAATGACTATTCACTTCAATTACTTTGTCTTACAGGTAATCATACTCCTATCAATCTTTCCTCTGTGGAACTCCTAATAATCTATAATCTTATCTCTCCCATAGATTTCTTCAGAAAGACTGTAAAAGAAAATCAAATAATACCTGATATAAATCCTACCAGATGCACAACATCATGAAATTCGGTCAAGGAATAGAATCTAAAAAAAAATAATAAAATCGTAAAGTTTAAAGTAAAGAAGTATGAATGTGATTCACACTTTTACAAATAGGGTGAATTAATGAATTACTTAAAATTTTACATTAACTAACGTACTAATTTTATGAAAAAAGTAAATTAAAAACATTTTAATAAAAAGTTCGAAATTTTTCATTTAAAATCAAAAAATACTCCCTCTCTCTAATCACTAAGTATTTCCTCTATTGACTTTGAAATTGTGCATGAAACTAATGTCATTAGTACAAACAACCGAAGCGCAGCTGTTGTGGCAAGATGGATAAGGCGTTGGATTCAGAATCCAACGGTTGTGGATTCGAGTCCCACCACGAACATTCCATAACAGTATGTTTTAAAAGTATTTTCTGTATAGCGAAAAAAAAAATAGAGCAAGAAATTAAAGTAACTAGATGAACAACGGCCTTGCAGTCTTTGGCCTAATAAATAAGTCTTTGTACTCAGAATCTAAAGATTGTGGGTTCGAGTCCCACCAGGAACATTCTATATCAGTGCATCTAAAAATATTTTCTGTTTATTGTCCGAAATAAAACATGAAATTACAGTAATTAGACGAACAAAGGCTTTGCATTTCCTTTGACCTAACGAATAAGGCGTTGGACTACGAATCCAAAGATTGTGGGGGCCGCGGTGGCCGAGCGACCTAGGCATCGGATCATGGCTAGCATGTCATGGGTTCGATCCTAGTACCACTAAAGATCCGCCGTGTAGGGAGCGATGCACGTTAAATCTGTCGAGAGCTCAAATGTCCTCCCATTGGTGTGGTGTGGTAGTTAGGAGAAGGGGGGTGCCAGCTCAGGTGTCGTCCACGTCACTTGACCATGGTTCAAAATTACGCGGACCGTCGCCAAAAGCCCTCGTGTTGCTAATCAGTGCGACGTTAATATTCTCTCTCCCAAAGATTGTGGGTTCGAGTCCCACCAGCAACATTCTGTAGCCGTGTGTTTTAAATATATTTTCTCTTCATCCTCCAAAACCGAACATGAAATTAAAGTAACTAGACGAAAAACCGCTTCGCAGGTCATGTGGCCTAATGGATAAGGAGTTGCACTCCGAATCCAAAAATTGTGGGTTCAAGTCCCACCAGGAACATTCTGCAACAGTGTGTTTTAAAAATATTTTCTATTTATCGTCCAAAACGGAACATGAAATTATATTAATTAGACAAACAATAGCTTTGCCGTTCCTGTGGCCTAATGGATAAGGCGTTGGACTCCGAATCGAAGGGTTCAAGTCCCACCAGGAACATTCTGCAACAGTGTGTTTTAAAATTTTTGTTGTTGTCCAAAACGGAAAATAAAATTATAGTAACTAGATGAACAACGGAATCGCAGTTCCTGTGGCCTAATGGTTAAGGTTTTGGACTCCGAATCCAAAGATTGTGGGTTCAAGTACCACCACAGGAACATTCTATAACCAAGTGTTTTAAAAACTTTTCCTATTTATCGTTCAAACCCGAACATGAAATTATAGTCACTTGACGAACAACCGCTTTGTAGTTCCTGTGGCCTAATGGATAAGGCGTTGGGATCCGAAGATCGTGGGTTCAAGTCCCACCAGGTACACTCTGCAACATTGCGCTTAAAAATATTTTCTATTTATCGTCCAAAACGGAACATAAAATTATAGTAACTGGATGAACAACGGCTTCGCAGTTCCTGTGTCCTAATGCTTAAGGTTTTGGACTCCGAATCCAAAGATTGCGGATTCAAGTACCACCAGGAATATTCTATAGGAGTGTGTTTTAAAAATGTTTTCTATTTATCGTCCATAACGGAACATAAAATTATAGTAACTGGATGAACAACGGCTTTGCAGTTCCTGTGGCCTAATGGATAAGGCGTTGGACTCCGAATTAAAAGATTGTGGATTCACGTCCCACCAGGAACATTCTATAAGAGTGTGTTTTAAAAATATTTTCTATTTATCGTTCAAAACGGAACATGAAATTATAGTAACTTCACGAACAACGGACTCGCAGTTAATGTGGCCTAATGGATAAGGCGTTGGACTCAGGATCCATGGCTTGTATGTTCAATTCCCACCAGGAACACTCTATAACACAGTGTGTTTCTAAAAGTCTTTCTGTTTATCCTCCAAAACCGAACATGAAATTATAGTAACTAGACGAAAAACGTCATTGCAGTGCCTGTGGCCTAATGGACAAGGCGTTGAACTCCGAATACAAAGATTAGTGGTTCAAGTCCCACCAGGAACATTCTGCAACATTGCGTTTTAAAAATGTTCTATTTATCGTCCAAAACGGAGCTTGAAATTATATTAATTAGACAAATAACAGCGTTGACGTTCCTGTTACCTAATGGATAAGGCGTTGGACTCCGGATCCAAAGATTGTGGGTTCAAGTCCCACCAGGAACATTCTGCAACAGTTTGTTTTAAAAATGTTTTCTATTTATCGTCCAAAACGGAACATAAAATTACAATAAATAGATGAACAACGGCTTCGCAGTTCCTGTGGCCTAAGGGTTAAGGTTTTGGACTCCGAATCCAAAGATTGTGGATTTATGTACCACATGGAACATTATATAGGAGTGTGTTTTAAAAATATTTTTTATTTATCCCATAAAACCGAACATGAAATTATAGTAACTAGACAAAAAGCTGCTTCGCAGTTCCTTTGGCCTAATGGGTAAGGAGTTGGCCTCCGAATCCAAAAATTTTGGGTTCAAGTCCCACCAGGAACATTCTATAACCGAGTTTTTTAAAAAAGTTTTCTATTTGTCGTTCAAACCCGAACTTGAATTTAGAGTAACTTGACGAACAACGGCTTTGCTTTTCCTGTGGCCTATTGGATAAGGCGTTGGACTCAGGATCCATGGATTGTGGGTTCAAGTCCCAACCCGAACTTTCTGCAATACTGTGTTTTAAAAATGTTTTCTACTTATCGTCCAAAACGGAGCATGAAATTATAGTAACTAGATGAACAAATGCTTCGCGATTACTGTGGCCTAATGGATAAGACGTTCGACTCCGGATCCAAAGATTGTTGGTTGAAGTCCCACCAGGAACATTCGGTAACAGTCTGTTTTAAATATTTTTTCTATTTTTCGTCCAAAACGGAAATGAAATTATAGTAACTAGATGAACAATGGCTTCGCAGTTTCTGTGGCCTAATGGATAAGGCGTTGGACTCCGGATCCAAAGAATGTGGTTGACGTCCCACTAGAAACATTCTATAACGGTGTGTTTTAAAAATATTTTTTTTTATCCTCCAAAACCGAACAGGAAATTATAGTAACTTGACGAACAACGGCTTCGCAGTTCCCGTGACCTAGTGGATAAGGCGTTGGACTACGAATCCAAAGGTTGTGGCTTCAAGTTCCACCAGGAACATTCTATCCATGCCTATCAAAGGCAGAGAAAATTGTGGGACAAAGGAAAAATCCTTACCGTACACTTTGTTGGCTTAACGTGGCCATGTTAGACTGATGATTATAGTCATAATTTGTAGCAGGCATGTCATGAGTTCGAGCCTTAATGCCACTGAAGATCAACCGTGTAGTGGGGCTAAAGCACGTTAAATCTTTCGAGACTTAATGTTCTCCTATGTTTACATGGTGTAGTAGTTTGATAGGTATGTTGCCAGTTCAGATGTCATCATTGTCACTTGACTGAGGTTCAAAATTATGAGGTCCGTCCCCATTGGCCTTCTCTCTCGAGTTGCTTTATAGTGATATGTTAATAAAACACTAATTTGAAGTCATAACTCTAATAATTTTGGCTGTATCCCACGTACACGCATTTGGAGCAATTTTCCTTGAAAGCAACCAATATTTTGAACAATTTCTACTTAGTTGCCATAGCAACGACTCCGAAAACACTTTATCCCAATGAGCTGAAAAAATGTTCCAAATAAAAGTTGTTTGAAATTCCAGCCAATGGGGTTCTTCGGCACACTACGTCATAAAACGATGGCGTTAATGATGGCAGCCTCGATTTCGTCAAACACATCAGATATGGCGTATAATATTTTAATGGTGTATAATATTTTAACGGGGCATAATATCTTAAGCAGAATAGTGCTCCATTTCTTTTTACGCCAGTCAACAAAAGCACGAGCGAAATAAAAGAAATAATATTAAAAATCGGCAAGTAATTTTTCAATGTGGAGATAGAGCGTGACTGAAGTCAGAGCATGTGTCATTTTGTTTACGGCAAACCTTCACCCTCAACTACGTGAAAAAAAGTTCTAAGCGTTTGCTCCAAATATGCGTGTGTGATAGGACCTTTACTCGGCCGAAGTAGCCGAGTAGTTTTGGCCATGAACTCGGGGTCTGCGTTTTCAAATTGCTTTGTTCGAGTTTTGGTGTCATTGAAGAATGAGTGTATAAAAGGAAGGAGGTACGTTAAACTTGTTGAGACTCAAAATCCTCATGTTGGTGTGTTTTGGAAGTTTGAAAAATGGGGTGTCAGCTCAGATGTGGTCCTCGTCCCTTGAAAAAAATTATTAGGTTCGTCACCATCAGACGTGCTGTAGTTAATACTCAATCACTTGCCCTTATTTAGAGAAAGAAGACTTGAAGTGTGATTGTAAAATGAAAAGATACAGAACGATAAGATATTGAAACGCAAGCAAGCTTGTTTAAATGTTTGTCTCTATATTCACATACAGTCATTAATAAAACAGGATTGAGGTCTGAATATTAGCTATTTTCTTATGTTCAGTTCAATTCAATACAGTGATAACACTGTAAAATTGCAGCCTTGGCTATCGCCTTATGCTCCGGCAGAATTTGATGAATATAGAATATTTAGAATCTGTTGGTTGATATTAAGAATTCTTCTACTTTTTGGGCACGCTCTATTGTTTTACAATTCGCTATTGTTGAATAGAGCCATTCTCCGTGGTTGGAAATAAAAAATTTCAAAATTTTTCGTTGCGCTTTGTATTTGCTATAGGTAAAAATGAAATGTTCACTTGTTTCCGGCACTTGACATTCCGAACAGAATGGAGGGCCGTGGTGGCCGAGTGCTCTAGGCATCGGATCATGGCTATCGTGTCATGAGTTCGATCCTAGTACCACTAAAGACCCGCCGTGTAGGGGTGCGATGCACGTTAAATCTGTCGAGAGCTCAAACGTCCTCTCGTTGGTGTGGTGTGGTAGTTAGGAGAGGGGGTGCCAGCTCAGGTGTCGTCCGCGTCACTTGACCATGGTTCAAAATTATGCAGACCGTCGCCAAAAGCCCTCGTGTTGCTAATCAGTGTGACGTTATTATTCTCTCTCCGAATAGAATGGAGAATCTGTTTGTTAAAAAAGAAAATAAATATCATTCAATGTGGTAGTTTTTTTGCTCGCATCTTATTAATTAAAACCTCTGAATTTCCATTGTTTGCTGACTGTCTATTCCATTTTTCAAGATGTGAAATATAATTATAGTTTTTATGTCCATGCTTCTTCATTTTTACTTTTATGTTGTTTTTTGAAATATGTATGTAGATCTTCCATTGAATTTTTGTTTATGATACCAAAGAAATGGCCCTAGTGCAAGTTTGAAGTGATGTATGACAATGATTTTAGTGATTTGATGTAATACAATCTTTACGAAAAAATTGATTATAGAACCTTTTCAAAAAATTCAAACAGAAAACTTCCCATTTTACAGTTAAGGGCCTATCCACTGTCCCCAATGATGTAAAACGTTCTGCTAGTAATGTAAGGTAAAAATTTTTATACACTGAAATATAGTTTAATCTTAAAGAAATATTATATAAAAATAAAAAGCTGAGAAAGTTGTTTTTAATACATATTGTCTTATATTTACTCAAAACAATACTATATATAACCGTTTACTTATAAATTATTTATAGGTTTGATACAGTGTATGGATTTATTTGCATTTAATCTAGTGCTTAAAATGTCAGAGTCAAAAGAGAAAAAAACCATTTTACAAAACATGTTCTAGTAGAGAACAAAATTCGGAATTGAAAAACACACTTTCAACAACAACTCTTACATTATTGATTATTTATTAATATCGCACTATGAAGTAACACGAGAAATTTTTACTTAATGTCATTAATACGTATATGCGTACATGCTAACATGTAGTTAGAAGTTTTTTTTCCCCTCTAAATTAAATTTACTTACAATAAAAGTGTTTTCTTTAATCTTTCGATTTATTTCTCCCATTTTTACACTAAGTAACATCAAAACTTCTGCTAAAGTAGCATATGGCATTTTCAAAATCCTCACAATGTACCGCTGCAGAAAGTTCTTTTCACCCCAAAATTCCTCAATAAATTGAATATTGGATTTTTATCCCCGCAACACATTCCTAAGTTCTATTTCATTTAAAACGAGTCTCTTTCGATTTCCATTTGTGTTCATCGATTTGCTAGCATTCTCTCTCCCCTACTTTATAGCCATTATAAGCAGGGAGCAGAGTAACACACATATTTCTTCTTTCATTTTCCTTGATTCGAAAGACATTTTATCGTTTCGAGCTTTCATAAGTTTTGACGAAGCCAAATAGTTCCTCTTCTCGAAACATTTTATTAAAGTAGTGCGAGAGATTGCGAGGGATTTTCACTTGTGTTTGAAATCTAATATTACAGTTGTCGAAGGTGCGTGGGATTGTAGCAGTATGTGCTTTTTTTTCTCTTTCATTCTATTGTGGTTGAATGATGAAAATCTTTAGATCCGAGCAAATATTTATCAAATGTATGGTTTGTAGAATTTATCAATAGCTACCCGTTTGAAATATGTATTTGGGATTCTCTTATGGAAAAAAAATATAGGTGTCCCCCCCCCCCGAAAAATATGATAACACCTTCAAAAATTTATTAAAAATGAACAAAGATTTCATTTTCAGATTTTTATGTTTCACAAAGAGAAGATAAAAGTTTTTGTATGTGTTCTTAGTGAAATGCAACCTGGACGGCACAACTTCAAAATTTTCATTTCAAAATGGCTTCCCCGCAAAAACAAGCACAAGTTTTACAGAAAAGTTTATCAAATTTAAATCTGAAGCGTAAATGGGGAACCACTACAGTGGAGCCTGGAAGGGAGAAAAAGTTTTCCAAGCGATTATTTGGAAACAGGAAGTCCAGTACCATGGCCACCTAGATCTCTAGACATAATAACTCCAGACTTCTTCTTGTAGGTATACGTAAAAAGCATTGTTTTACCAATCTTCAATTAGTAACACTGAAGAAATGGAAAGTCGAATAAAAGTCGAATTTAGAGTGTTGTTTTTCTTGCAATGCTTCGTAGAACGTGGCTAGAAATCTCGTATAGCCTCGATGTGTTGTGCGTCTCTGATGGTGCGCATATTGATATCGAGCAATAAAATATTGTAAAAAAGATTTGATATTTTTTTATGGAACAAAAAGAAATAGCATGTGAATATCGCTATCTGTTTTTCTATAATAATTATTTAAAAGTGTAGTTAATACTTTTCAGACACCCGGTACTTGCTTAAAACACATCTATAATGGGATAACTTTAACATAGAAAGTTTCAAAAATAATATGTAACATAGAGAGAATAGTTTTTAAAGTGTCTATTCCACATTATTAAATTCGAGATTAAACAAATATTTGTATGTATGTCCGTCTACCTTCTTACGAACCACTCAATGCAGAAACATACCGAAATTACCAAAAGATAGGAAATATTTCAAGCAACTACATGAATTCTGAAATTACAACTAGTTAATATAGTTATTAATTAAAAAATGCCAAAAATATTAATGATTGGCATTTCCCTGTAATGCTGTGTATCATATAAAAACTCCGAAAAACGGCAAGGGAAAGATTTTCTATCATTTTGGCTGTTTTGAAAAATTGTCATTCTTTCCTTGGTGCAAAAGTCAGTCAAAAAACAATTCCAAAAACAAAGAAATCATTCATTGAACTTTTTTTTCTGCTAATAATGATTTTTTTCCATAACAATATTGTTATATGAGTTTTTAAAAATAAATCAACTTTGACGCATTTTCATTTATGGTAAGTTTGAACCGCCCCCCTGTATCTCTTTCTCGTCACTGTAGTGGCCACGATAGCGTAATGGTCAAGATCAAGGACTCGTGGCTGGCATGTCATGAGTTCGAGATTTGTACTACTCAAGATCCACCGTGCAGAAGAGGCCAGTTCATGTTATATATATCGAGGCTCAAACGTCCTCCCATCGGTGTGGTGTTGAAGTTAGGAGAGGGGAGACATTTCAGGTGTCGTCCTCGTCACTTGACTATAGTTCGAAATTACGAGGTCCGCCATCAGCAGCCCTCGTGTAGCGGAACAGGGCGACGTTCACTCACTCACTTCTCGTCACTGTAATTGACGAGTTTAAAAAGCATCAACAAAGAAAAAAAATCAGATTTTTGAAACTTAT